GGCACCATTCCCTTCCGTATGCAACCCTGGCACAGGGCTCAGAGCCTGTCAACGTACTCATCACGGCTGGCGCCGACATTCGACACGTTGCAGGGAAGCCTGGGCAGGGGCTACAGGCCTCCTTAGGTAAATGTGACTTGTGGCTTTTATGGTTTGATGATGTTTGGCGTCAGAGAGTGCGCAGAAGCCTTGGGTAAATCTGGTTTGAAGGCGTATGGCTCTTTAGAGGGATTGTGGGGCATGTGGCAGAAAAATGTGTGTTTGGCCATGTTTCGGAATTCTTCCGATGGCTACAAGACTCTAAAGGTTCGTGGCTCATTAGCAGATGCACACAACGCTGGCTTTGTACGGTTACTTTGGGAACTTTTACATGTTCTTGAGTGATCTTATTGACCTCCAAAGCCATGGCTTTTCTCGGGTTACTTTACACTCTATGCCCTACTTACACTTGCTCATGATCGGGGTCCAGGGTTTGAGACAATCGCTGTAGTGTTCTAAGTGCACCAAAAGATCAGGATTGTTTGGATTGGTGAGTGTCAGCGGGTGCTCTTGAAGAATCTATGTGTGTGTGTGTGTCAGGGGGCTCAACATGTGGGATGAAGGCAGGTGGCTACAGGATCCAGATTGTAGCATCCATTATGTTAGAAGTTATTTTCTATGCCCCACCTTCCTTCACCTCACCTTTTGAGCCATCTGTATGTGGAGCACCCTTTTGGTAGTGCCACTACTGGCAACCCTGCCTCATATGACTTCGTGCACTCGCTGCAGTCCCTCTTCAAGCTCCGGAACCTTTATCTTCCAAAGCCAAGAGAAACGGGTCAGTAATTGTTTGGCTCTTGATCAGCTGCACGACATCCACCCACTGCTTGAAGCTTCGGGTGCTGCTACGGCTGAGACATCACGTCTGGAGTATACACTGTCACTTGCCTTGGCAGGGAAACCCTCAAGGTGCCCTACAACAGCTACTAGGGGTTTGTATGAGTGTTCATGCCAACTTGGTGGAGAGTACCTGTACAGTATCCATGTCTGGGTTCGGGGCGCAGGGCTCGCATCTAGGCGCGGCGAATTTTTTCAGTTTTTCAGGTATCTGCACAGGTTTATAGTTTGCCTCTCGTCTTCCATGGGACTTTATGGGGCCATCTTAAGCCCTAGACCCGGTTGCCGAGGGCGAAAGCCTTTGCCCTGAATATTCCTTTGCGCGAGTTAGCACTTCGAAGGTGAACGATTGCAGAACGCAAGCTTACGCACGGGAATGCGCGGTGTCGGTTCGTGCTGTCCTGTGCTGTACTTGGGTTGGTGTCCATCCCGTTAGACCACTGCTATAAGCTTGGGGGTGTCTTCGAAAGTTACGCCACCGTTATACGCTTGGTGGTGTCTTCGAAAGTTATGCACGCCGTTTCCAGATTGTATGAAATGCTCGCACAGTACTCGAATAAGAAAGCATTGGTATGTATCACAGAGGAGTCGCCTCGTATGCCACACATAATCAAGATCACTATTGCCGGGATTGTGGATTAGAACCGCGCCTTCGAGAAAAACATGGAATCCAATAACCCAAGTGTGTACATCTCCAATGTTTTGAGTCCAGGACTTGTTTAGGATTTGGAGTTCAGCTAGACTCTTACGGGGCCCAAGATAGGACAAACCCTTTCAAAGAACCACCAAAAAAGGTGCGATGTCTCTCGGGCTTCAGGAATCTGAACAATTTAGGGTATATGTTGTAGGCTTCAGGGTTCGGGGTTTAAAGATGACGCTGGAGTCGCTTGCACATCTGGCAGTGCCCCGCAGCGATTTGCCACTTGCTACCAAGGTAGGGAAAAGTCCGAGGTATAATCAGGAAATGTCCATGAGTTACCCCACTTGACTGGTGGTTGTTTATTTGGGATATCATTCTTATATTGGGTATTCTGATTCTGATTTTGGTTTTCTTGTATAAGAAGTATATTAGCTGCTCAATCCAACCTTAGCTACTCGAGCTTCAACCCTGTTAGCCTAAAAGCTTCAATCTGATCCCAAGCTGACCGCAGTCACACGGCAAACCCTTTCAAGCCCAAGGTCTATCTATATCGATCTATATATATATATATTTTTATAAGGATAAGAGCTTGCCTTTAAAATTTGTTGGGGTCTTTAGAACTGTACTGTGGGGTGCTACTTTTTTAGGCCTGCTAGGAACCTAGGTCGGAGGAAACACAGGCAGCTGTAAAATCTCACTCCTAAACCCAAACCCCTTGGGATTTCTGCCCGAATAAAACCCGGTGTTCTGGACATCCGGATAAAGGTGATTCAAGGCATAATTGGGCTTCATGTCATATAGACATATTCTTCCAGCATGGCAAGGACTCTTGAGGTGACATGTGTAGGGTCCAGCTTTGTGGGTTAGACCTAAGGAAGCCTCAACATCTTGAGGGGGATCTTGAGCTGTGTGATTCGTGTTTCCCTACCCTGATTGAAGTGCTTTAAGTGTAGACCTCGACTACTTGCACGGTAGAGCCATGCAGTTGTAGGTATTGTGTGTTGCTGCATGATATTGTGACGACTGAGACATGTTTGGAATACGGAAGCCAGTTCAGTTTCCTGAGGTGGGTGTTTTTGAGGTCACCATTTATTTTGGATAAGGAGGCTTTAATAAGGACTCCTTGAGCAAGTCCATAGACTGACAACACACACACATGTGGATTCCGGGGATCAGATCAGGGCTAGCGTAACATGTTGATATGCCCTTGGTAGTGGCCTCCACCTAACAGCAAGGCCCCATCCCCCCCCACCACACCCCCAATAGTGAATACCCTGACCCTTATGATTTGGTGAATAGTTATTATCAGAGGGTGACAGGTATAATAGTAGGGGAGGGGAGGAATGATTAGCAAGTGTTCTTTGTGCAGGTTTTGCAGACAGGTGGCAAGATATCCCGGTCCTACAGTCGCTTCGACACTTTGACACCGAGAAGCCTTAGACGCTAGAATCCTAACACATGCAGTGTTCGACCTCTTCCTGATTGTTGGCTTCAGGCTCAGTTTCCTTGAGAGATTCCAGGGCCCCAGGCTCTGAATCACCAGCGAAGGGTGATATCAGGAAGGGCCACGGCCTTTGGGGCTACCCTGCTTGAAAAGGTTCAAGATGTAAGGCCTCAAAACTTGAACCTCAAACGCTTTTCCTCGAGCCCAAAGACTTCATGCGCGCTTGCCCACGGGATCGAGGTCAAGACTCTAGCGCGGAGACGGAGACAGGAGACCTGTTCAGAGGTTGTGTGATTGGGACTTCTCAGCGCAACTGAAATTTCAAGTCCAACTTTTCCCTTGAGCTTGATCACCCTTAATTATTGTTTGGGTTTTTGTGATCTACATGGCACCTTTCAGCTTTTTATTTGCTTGTTGGATTTCGTTGGCCTTGCCCTTGATGGAGAGCTGGGCACCCCTCAGAGCGATTGACACCAAAGGACTCGGGGAGCTAGAAGGAAGTCTCGTGAATCATTTTTGTGAGATTCCGATGGAGGATTGAAGAGTTCATGCTTAGACAATTACACCTGTTCGAGCATCAAGCTTTGACTTCAGCCGTCTGGTTTCGCAATTTGAAAATCGAGGGAAGCTCTTGTTACTTGTCATGATAGGACTTCTCATGCCTGGGGCTTGTGTATACAAGGGCCCCCTACATGCAGCCCTTCTTATCCCATCTTGCCAAGATTCCTCTTATACAGCATGCGGCTTTCTCGCACAAGACGAGAGCTCAAGTTCAGCAGTTCCAGGTTAATTCAGGGCTTTGGGCAAGCACGCAGGACCACAAACGAGTGCGCTTCTTTCTGCACGAGAGCAAGCACGAGGCTTCACACTCTTTGCCCTGAGGTTGTTGAGCTGTGAGATGTCACATCGTACTCAGAGATTTGGGGTCGAAGCTCCAAGCTACGGTTCCTCGACCCAATCCCCAAAACACGAACATATATCATAGCGAGTTGAAGTAGTGACATTAACACGAAGCCTTCTGATCGTAACACATGCAACAGCAGGCAGAAAACATCCCGAAGTGTTGAAGAGACTCTATGGACGACCCCCTGCTTGGGTGTAGAGGGAGAGAAGGGTAGCCACTCCCTGATGCGAACCCAGTCAAATAGGATGGTTTCCAGATTGAAGAGCAGCCTCGACTCTGATGCAAGCCCTCAAATTCATTTGTGACTCCCTAAAACCTGGTGCTTCCACTTAATTCCCGGAGACCTCCTCCGCCTTGCCGGTGCGTCTGTACTCTCCTGTAAGATACGGAGGGGCCGCCATGCAGGTCCTTGCAAGACATCTGCTTTTTCTGCAGATCATCAACAACCAGGCGCTCCGGAACTGGGTGGAACTGTGATTTCTCGTGTTTTCCCTGTGGGTTGCCAGGTTGGGGCTAGAGGAACCTCTTCGCGCGATGTCACCCAAGGTGGTCGATATGACCTGAATGTGGGATTCTGGATTGTCATCCTTTGAAAGTACCTCCGAAACATTGGAAAATGGCACACGCTACATTGAAGAGTAGGCCGAGGAGTACCACGTTGCGTAGAACTTCTGAACCAAGCGCTTGGACGCGAGGCTACTAGGGCGTGTCGTGTCAGAGGTAGCATTTGTATCATCGTTACAGTATCATAATAACCATCACTATCATCATCACCATCACAATCACCATCACCACACCATCATCATCATCATCATCATCATCATCGTCATCATCTTCGTTCTCCTCATCATTGGCAGAATCATCATCGTCGTCATCGCGTGGTGTTTAACCTAGTCTAGAGACAAATCCGAGTTCCAATGACCATGAGCAGACACCGAACGCTGTCTGAGGAGACGCAGTTGTGGTATTCAACTGTGTTTTCCATTTTTGGGGTGATAACGAAGTGAAGTGATAGCGGTGATAGCGATGCATGAGCTTTTGGTGGTTATACTGGCTCTCAGAAAGAGGAGTCCTTTGAACATTGTTCCTGTCTGCTCTCCAATACGGCCTGGCAGGCTCTGTCCATCCGAGAGCGAATGGAGGCAACTGCGGACTTACGAGGGTATATAGATGTGGGCTTCTGAAATGCTCACCCTTAAGCTTGAGAGTCCCTGAGGAGAACCTTCGAATTTTCTTGTATCTGTATGTATGCCTGGGGCCCAAGTTCCCATGGTTTTGAAGAATGCTAAGCGGAAGGATCCAGATTTCAACCCCATCTTTGCTGTGTTTCCTTTTCCCCGCAGTGTCAGACCCGCAGCAATTCAAGGTTCGTGCTTGGATAATTGGAATCCGTTGGGTTTCGCGGAATATCTGAGAACTTCCAACTGATCTATTGAAGTAGGCATGATTGAATGACTGCGGTCATGACTTCAACGTGGCTTTGGAGATGATAAAGCAAAGGGGGCCCTGATCACCATATCTGTTCGTGCGTTAGGGTCTGGGACGCCCGAGAGCATTCCTATGAATGCCGAAAGGCCTTAGGAATCAATGATCAAGTCAGAGAGGCTGTCTTTACAGATTGAATACGCGTGGGATTTTGTGTGCTTTGCCTGCGGGTTGGAACGATATGGTGTGGGACCTGAAACGCTAAGCGTCCAAAACATCAAATGTTGATACGTCCCTTGAACTGCCGAACACGTACTCCAGGCACGCTCGTGAGCATGTCCAATTCAGCATGGTAAGTTGCTAATATTGAATAGGCAAGGTAATTCATGTCAGTCCCCACGTCGCCTAAGCGCATCACATTGGGTGTGCGCTAGGATGTCAGGTCATGATTTTTTTCGGAACAACAGCAATCCTCCAAGCCCGCCATGCAACCAAATACCTGCCTTGGACCCAAAACAGCAAACCACCCCGGCCGTACCATCACACATACTGCTGGCTGCTTGGTGTAAAGGTTTTTCTCAGTCTCTACGGCAACACCCTGGTCCGTGAGAGGGATTGCCCCTCGGCTTCAAGCCATGGTGACCCCGTACGGGGAAAGGGCTTCTTTTTCCTGATCTTATGAATCATGCCGGCGTTTTGGCAGGGCAATCTTTGCCTCAAGTCTATCCTGCCCTGACCCTTGGACCTGTGTCTTGCTGATGGACTCCTGAAAGAATCCTTGTAGAATTTCCTTGCTGTTCGTGTTGACACATTCATTCCTTCTCTCCACAGAATAGGAGAAGGGTAGTGGGACTAATCATTGATGTGGTGGTTTCGGTGATTTTGCGGCATTTGTTTGTCTTCAGCGTGCTTGGGTTTCATGACTTGTGGATTGTTGTGTGGGTTGGTCGGTTGGCATTTGGGTTATGTCCCGCTTTTGTTGCTGGTCTACTCCAACAGTAGTTTTGCTTCAGTGGCTAATTTGGGATGTCGCTCAAGCTTGTTAGGGTTGTTAGGTGCAAGTTTGGGCTTGTCATTTCTTTTTGCTTGGAGTTTATCGTTTATCCTAGGAAGTTTTGCTCGCAAGTGTAGTGCGCAGCAGTTGTCAGAATTCCCCCGCCCGCATTGCGTGTTTGTCTTACGTTAAGGTATTTGTTAGAGTGTAGAACCAGCTGACATAGTCCTGGAAAGGTCACCTGTGCATGGCTTAGTGCGCCGGGATGAAACATGTCCCAGTCCGTTATGCATAGACGGAACCATGGATTTGGCATCTTGCCGAAATTCGGACGTCCGCCTTCTCTCTGCAGTGATCTTGCGCCATGCATGTGATTCTAGCATCATCCTCCAGCGCATAGTTCCCTTGTATCTTCACATATTGCTAGGGCCCTCTCAAGTACCACGTTTCAAGAACACTGATACCGTCCCAGGGCCTTGACCTTCAACACAGTTCTCCCACACTGAGGCACCTACGTTTCGGAAATTGTGATGGGCTCGGCCGTTATCAAAGGATGCTCGCAGTAAAGTTTGTTGACCTAATCCTGAATAGGTTTGTTTGAGGCGAGGGCTTGATAAGGTCTAGATGGGGCTTCATGAGGTCTGATACTTTCAAGTCATAAGTACAGACGTACTAGTCCGATATTCAGATGTTGACCAGGCCCAGTAGGCCAGACCATGACGATATGTATTCGGTGGCGGCCTACTGATCTTGTTTAAGCAGTTGAAAACATTGGAAGTTAGCTAGTTACCTCCGTTTCCTGTGCTCATTATTATTGCGCAGAAGCTTGTGGGAGAGTGCATCAATCTGATTGTGTTTTGGGGCGTTTCGGGTTTGTGCTGGATGCACAACGTACACTTCTACGTTCTGCAAACTAATGCTTCCTTCAAACACTTCCAGATGTGAAGGAGTACGTAGTGAATCAAATCCAGGCTACAAACTGCATGAATTTGTAAAGCGGACAACCTACAGACCACTGGTTCTGTGCAACGTTGGCATGTGAGCCCTCGCTTCAATACCAGATTTTGATCTTATAGCGCTACAGCAAGCTGGCCCAAGCCGTCTTTCCATTCTCCTTTCCAGTATATACAGATGAAGAAGACGCACCAGGCTCCTGAGTTTGTGGAGATCGTGACCGACAACTCGTCCCATCCACTGGCAGCTGCGGCTGCGAACCAAGAATCTCACAAGATCTCACAAGGTTCTAGAGTTTTGTTCTTTGATCATGCAAGCCCTTATCATTGCTTATAGTCCATCGTATTTCTGGAGGAAGTGCGAGGCTTTCAAAGCTTTGCAGTAGAAAAGGATGCTGGCCTCAATACGGATGCCCAAGAACGGGGATTCCACATGGAGCAGCGCCCTCCCTCACCCCATTAGTCCTAAAAACAATTGGAACCTGAAATCCCAAACAGTGAGCCCGCGAAGCCTCAACAACCTGCGGAGCCTTATGGTAGTTTGAGGATGGTAGCCCTATACCCTGAAGCTCACGTGGTAAACCTTGAGCCTAAACTCGCAGATCGATCTCACGCAGCTCAAATTCAAAGACCGCGACGTGCTCCAGGAAGGGGGCTGTGAGTACTTGAGTAGGCACCTCATGAAAATTGCCCTCGTATTCTTGCTTCCTAAGGCAGCCGCAAGAAACAGCTGGAAATTGTAATTTGCTACGGCTCCGGGGGGTTTCTGAAAAGTTTAAAATAGGACTTCCTGGGCCAGGGACAGGCTTTGAATGATTTTTTGCTCCACTCGTGCTTTTGGGAGTGGCACCTTCACACGACACTGTAGGAACCCTAAATCGCAAAAACAACGCAAAGTACATCTTGTCTGAGGCTGGCAGTTTCAGGATCACTGGGGCTAGCCATTTCGGCTGGATTTGCTCTGATGCCGCGATAGAGAGTCTGCCGTTGCGATTTTGCCAGGGCCGCCTGCAACTTCTGAGACTGCCAACTGTCGAGGTTCAAAGTCTACGCCTCTTTTGGCTCCTACCTACCGATACCTATGACGCTCCTGTTATGTATACCCTGAAGTGCTGTAGTTTGGCCATGAGAAGCATTCCCATAGAAGAGAGACTTAGATTGCAAAAATGGTCGCACGTTGCTGAGCGTGGCTTCAGCACCACCACCCCGCCTCCGATCAGGGGTCTGAAGAGCCTTCAGGGAGCTTTTAGAAGGAACATCTGAGCAAAACAAGACACGGAGGTTTGAACTAATAGCAGGGATCCAGAATGCTAGTCTTCAGGACTCTTTCTAGCACAGTCAAGACACTTAAAGCAACAACAACGCTGGTTTACCCGCAGACTCCTAATCCTTCCAAACCCTCGTAAGTCCCCAAACACCCGTGTAGGTATCTTGCGTAACGCTCACTATCAACACCTACGTAGTCCGTATCTGTTCCTAGATCAAAATCCCACTTCTATCCTGAACCTGAAAGCTTGCCTTGCAAGTTCCGCCGCGCTAGGACGTCTTCAAAGGCCGATGCAAAACTGAACTGGCACTGGATTTGGGGTGCAGGGCTTCCGCAGTGGCTTGCAGGGATTTGCGTTCGGGTGGGGCTGTAAATGGGGGTTTCCTAAAATTGGGGGTACCATTTTGGGGGTCCCCACAATAAGGACTATAGTATTTTGGGGTCTATATTGGGGTCCCTCTATTTTGGGAAACTACCATATCATGTCATGATTGTAGCGTGGGACTTGATGAATGTGAGCCATGAAGCAGGGCCGCCCTGTTTGCATGACTTAGGACAGTGCTGCTCGGAGTTCCCAATGGCTCACGAGTAGCATTGCATTAGGTGCAGGTGCACAGTCAGTACCCTGGCTTTCCGAAGAGATATCAATCATTTGTGGGGGACGTGCGTGGGTATTAGAGATCAAGGCTTGGTGGATTTGACGAGGAACTGTCCTCTTGAAGAACAATTTTGCGTAGAGCTCCCTAGACGTGGTGTGAATCATTGCTTTGGAGCACATGACTGGAAGGGTGCAACCACATACCCAACCACGCATTGACCCTCAACCTCGAGCCCCAAACCCAAAGTAAGGCCCACCTTGGACCCCACATCTTAGCTTCAAGATAACTTGGGGGAGTTTGGTTACTCTCCAAGCCCCCAAATGCAGACGCATGGCTGGCGTATGACTCTTACAGGGACCTCATTTTGCAGGGTAGCGTCTACCCAAATCCTCTTTTTACAACTAAGCCTGAGGAAGTCTTGATTAATTTCCATGATAGTCCTTCGATTACCTATTCAAAACGACAAGGAACCTGCCCCGAAACCTGCTGCGTTTCTTGGGGACCCTCCGTATAAATCCTCTAAACCCTATAAACCCTAAACTCTGGCGGAGATCCTTGGAGGTTGGTTCAAGGACGTCCCCTTCGACATCGAGGCTCTTCGGGAGCAGCCTGGGACCCAAGCCTTGCCTCTGAGAGCTCTTTGAAGCGTCCAGGGCTTGGGGTCCAGAATTTGAATTTTGAGGTGCAGGATTTAGGGTCCCGGTTTTTGCGGGATTGCAGGAGTGCCCTTTCATAGTGCGGGTTTGCCTACTGTTCGCTTGAAGATTGCTGGTTTGAAGCTTCAAACTATTCCAGCCTTACTGTTCTCGGAGTGAAAGAGGCTAGAGGGAAAGCCTCCGTCTCTGAAATTGGTGTTCCGAACTTGTAGCTAAAGGTTTCGTGCTTCAAAAATCGCTCAGGCAGTTCACCTTCAAGCCAAAACTCTTGCTTGGGAGCTTGTGGGTCCGCAGTACTCGGCCAGGCATTTCACGAGAAAGCTGCTTTGTTTCGGTGCATCCGCTTTGATGAGCTTAGTTTCTGCTGTTGACACTGTTATGACATCTCATGAGTACGAAGAGCTCAAATCCTGTAAGCCCAAAAGCAAGATCAGGGCTTGGTTAAAGCAGTATTCTTCAACAGACCGCGACAAAATCAGACATGTCCACTCACAGATTGATACGGGGAATCTTGACTATGGATTTTTTAATGTAAGATAGGGAGCATTGCACGATCTCAGGAAGGATCCATTGTAATCGTCTTCTTGCAACATGCGCTGCAATTTGTACCAGAGCGCCTCCCAATGCCACTTAATGGCCTTGGGCGGCACTCTGGTAAGACAACCTGCTTTGTATCTCCTCTTGTTGGCCTGAGAAGGTAGCCCTTGTTGGAATCTTGCTGTTCCCCAGGCGCTGCCGAGGCTACTACCGAGCCAGGCGAGAGTCCACAAGATGGAATTCTGAGGTTCAGGGCCTAAGGTTGGGGTTTGAGGTGCCCTAGGAATAGTTGATTGTCGGGCAGCTTGCTTGCTGGAAATCTTACTCGGGAATCTTCTGCGGATGCCATTGGTCTCCCGAACCCTTTGTTTCAAAGTGCTATAAACCCCTTCATATATCCTAAACAGCCCTATATAACCCCTATATATCCATAGGGAAAAGTGGAAAATCAAATGGAAACTGCTATGTAGTACATAGGGGTATAACATAGGGATAACGGAAAAGACAATGGAACCTTGTATAGTATATTAGGATTCGCATGATAACATCAGGCCTGCCAGGGTCCCTGTCGCAACTGCAACCGAGAGCGTGCTGTTCAGACTGATTCTGCAGACTGTTGCATGCTGTTCTGCACATTCCAGATATGACCACCGGAAGAACTTGATGGACTATGACTACCAGACGTTCATCAAGGACTGACCCGGCTAGATGTCAAGTTCCTCATATCGCAGAGTTTTTTTGAACTGAGAGCAAGTGCAAACTAAAGCTGAAGTACTCAACCAAGTTGCTGCTATTCCGGGTGAACCGCGAGCTAACAACTGCCACTGTAAATATTCTCCGCTCCATGATGCACAGTAGGAATTCCGGGTGACCTCAGATGCTTGCCATCAGTGATAGTACCTTAGAACTCATGCATCACTGACCTAGAAGTTCCTAGGGATGCTCTACAGCAGGTTTGCTTGGAACTGGGGATGTCTTCCTGTAATTATGAACCTTCCCCGCACCCTTGTATTTGCTGAAACCGTGGCAACTACAATGTCCTGCAGACAGAGGTGCTCTCCAGAATGAAGCAATAGGTTTTGCCAAGCAGTGCTGTCTTGTAACATTTGCTTACTAAAGATGCAAGCCTCCTCGTCCTGCCCCATATGCATCATGGCAGGGCAAGTCAACGTGTGCACCGAATGATCTGCCATATTATCTTGTAATCTAGAAGCAGGGTTGAACGTCTAGGCATCTAGTTCTTGCTTAGAGGGCTGGTGAGAGCTGGCACGAGGAAGTGGCGGGGATCATCCACTGGTTCCACTACAAAGAGCTCGGGCCCTGGTCCAAATCTGTCTGGTTCGGGAAGGCTAGATAGTTGAATATGCAACCCTTAGGGTTTAGTTTGTGGACTTTCTCAAGGGCCAGCCCTGCGCCTGCATGTGTATCCCCTGCCTGCATATGTATATGCAATCGCCTTCGGCAACCTAAATTTCATGAACGCTCAATCCCAGATTCTCAGCCCCGAGCCCTAAAGCCCCGAAAGTAGACTCTAGAAGTCACAGGTGACCCAAACCATCAGCTATCTAACCTGGACCCGACACTTTTGCAAAATTTTGGTCTCAGACGGGGAACTCCGGGCAAGCCATCACTTGCAAATGCGGACTGCAGATGGTCGAACGCTCGTCAGAACCCTGAACAAACTGCAAGCTTATAACCTCTGGCCCAAGTCCCAAACCACGGAAGCTGCTCCCTCGACCCATCAGGTTCGGCCACAGCGGTGTGGCCTTCGAGACGCGGCTGGCGAGCTACGCCACGCCGAACCGGACGCTGGCGTCGGGAACTCTGAGGTGTTGACTCCAGGGTAAGGGTATAGGAGGTTAAAGGGATCTCGCTGCATCACTCCTCCTCTCATTTATGTGAAAGGATGATGGACATTTGATGGGGAGCGTCGCGGTTTTGACTGGGTCGCCTACTAGGAGAATGTGGGTGCCACCATCCTTCAGGAGTTTGTTGAAACTAAACATGTACTCTGCTCTAC